CACACACACACACACACACACACACAAACACACATCTGTCCACTTGTTTCTGTTGCTGTGTATTGCCTGACAGTGTTGACCAATCAGAAGATAAAATGAAACACAAATACATTTTGTTACTTTGCATCTATTTTTATCAAATGTAGTAATAAAATAACGTACTTGTAAATAACTAGATTTTAAGTGAACATTTCATCACACGTCACATGACATGCAGGTAAACAAATAAAATATTCCCTCTTTTTTAGCACGTGGAGTGCTTTGTTTTTTAATCTTTAATTTTTTTATTTTAAATGTATTTACATTTTATATGTATAATTTAATTATTAGCTTCTTATCGACTCGTTTAGATTTTCATTTTAAACTTATTTTCATTTCACATTTTAATGATTTCATTAATTATTAGCTTCTCATCAACTTATTTAGGTTGTTTTTATTTTAAAATTATTAATTTTTATTTTATTTCTTATGAATTCATTAACTTCTCATCAATTCATTTTGATTGTTTTTGTTATAAATTAGTTATTGCTGTTTTATTTTTTTATGAATTCATTAATTATTAGCTTCTCGACAACTCATTTTGATTTTTGTCTTAATTTTTTTTTTTTTACATTTTTATGATTTCATTTCACAGTTCCCTCATTATCATCAGATTTTGGTTTGATCCTGCTGGTTTACAGACGCTGTCTGGGTGAAATTTTAAAAGTGTATATTGGCTAAAACACTTTTAGGGTTGGTCTCAAAATGTAAACCATGAACAGGTCAATGAAAATGTTGCTTTATGGTTTAAGTTTTAGCAAGCAATTTTATTTATACATAACATTTCATGCACAATGGTAATCAAAGTGTTTTACATTTAAAAAAAAATAAATATTAAAATAATCACAAAAGATATATAAAAATAAAAATAGCAATACAAGCAAAGGAATAAAAAAAATTGATTTAAAATACATCAAAACAAAATAAAATGAGGGTTTTAGCTAATTATAATAACCCTGGATGGCATTCACACTCATGAAGCATCCAGCTTGTTTTTGATGTGATTCTCTCATCGTTCGCTCTGTGTTGACTCGTTTATGATTTGATGTTTAACTCTGGATATTTTTTGTATGAAAAAGCGGTGATTTACACTTATGCGTGTGTGTGTGACGACTCCTCGTGTCTCTCTGATATTTAGCTGCTTGTCTGCTCGAGTACTTTTCTCCTTGTTGCACGTCAAAGTGTTAATTGCCTCTTGTTAAAAGCCCCGCTGTAAAAAGGCCCGTGTGTGTGTGTCTCTTCACCTGCCGTCTCTTTGCATCCAATTCCTCTTCCTGTGCTAAAGCTCTGCTAGGTGACGAGAGCCAGAAATCAGTGTGAGGACTCTCTCTCTCTCACACACACACACACACACACACTCACACACACACACACACGCTGAGGATTATTTTGAGACTCCGCAAACATCACCTCCACTTTAATGGGTTTACAAATATTCATTTATCCTGGCATTTACCTATTCATTGCATTTTAGCGTGCAGATAAAAGGCTGTGGATGTCAGCGGCGTCTCTGCTCTCTTCCTGTCTGAGGACGAGTGCATGATAGTGAGACGCAGATGCAGACAGGATGAGGAGAGGTGTAGATTTCCTCTCTCCTTCCTCCGTTTGCGAGGTGTTTGTCTCTGAGTGTGAAGCGCTCATCTTTTGACTGGCCGCGTGCGCCGATCGCACCGACACCGGAGGGTGTGTGATACAGCGTGTGTCCTGAGCAGAGAGGATTGTGGGATGGGCCTGGTCTCTGATCATGTCATGGAACGTATGTTTCAGATCTCTGGAGATTATTGGAGTATCAGGCTATTTGGGATGGAATAGTAGCCTACTGCTTACTATTTAAAAGATGTTATCATGTGATACAGTATACAATAATACACATTCCAAACAGTATTATATTGCACTGATGTCACATGACCTCACGACTGTATGTTGCAATTTTAATCAATAATAATATATTAGACAATACATTATTATGTACATAAATTATACATTTCTAAATATATGTTACTAATTTTCTCTTTAAATTATTATTATTATTATTATTATTATTATTATCATGTGTTTTATAATAAATAAAATAAGAAATGTGTAATTTATATATACACTACCATCTGGAATAATTAAGATTTTATTATTATATATTTATTTATTAATTTTTTTTTATTTATTGTTATTTTAATACTATGTATTATTATTATTATTGTTGTTGTTGTTGTGTGGTCTTATAATAAATAATATATTAAAAGTATAATGTATGTATTCACTACCTCTAGGAATATTAATAATAATAATTATTATTATTATTATTATGTATTTTAAAATAAATAATATAATAAATGTATCATTTACATATACACCACCATTTGGAAAAATAGAATAATATATTTATTTATTTGTAATTTTATTTAATGATTTATTATTATTATTATTATTATTATTATTATGTGTTTTTATAATAAATCATATAATAAACTTGTAATTTATATGTACACCACCATTTGGAATAATAGAAAAATGTATTTATTTATGCTTAATTTTTATTTATCTATTTATTTTTATTATTGTTATGTGTTGTATAATAAATAATATAATTAATGTATAATGTATACACAACCATTTGGAATAATTAAGATTTTTTAAATGTTTTTGAAAGAATTTTCTTCTGCTCATCAAGACTGTTTTTATTTGATCAAAAATACAGTAAAAAATGTATTGTGGAATATTATTATTAAATGTTTTAAATAGTATGCAGTGTGCAGTAGGCTAGTATTCCATTCTGAAAAGCCACAGACTATTCTGATGATGATGATGATGATGAAGATGAAGTGTTCACACTGCTCTGGAATGCCATCATCACACACACACACACACACACACACACACACACACACACACACACACACCCAGCACCACACACACACACACACACATTTTCAGATGCCTCATGAGTTCAGGCATCATATACAGTGTCTGTTGATCTGTAACATACCAAAACAGAGGAATTGTGGGTGAACACGGCTGTTAATGCATCATTTAAGTTCATCTGAAGCACTAATGCAATGCACTACTGCACCAGAAACAAAGACATTTCATTTCTCATTTATATTCACTGCAAATTCACTCGTTTGGTTGGAAATTTGTCATTAGCCATTCAAATGTATATAGTGCATGAATATTGCAAACAGTATACAAGTTTGGCGATCTTATGAGAAAAGGTGAGTTCAGCTTTATATATATATATATATATATATATATATATATTATATATACATTTTTTAAATATAAAATAAAAAATATATACATATTCAAAATGAAGTAACAGCGAATGAATAACTAAATAAGTAAATACATACATATATACATACAAGCATAAAAAGCACAAATTAGTAGACTCCAAAAAGCTAAATGAACGCAGGATGGAGCGACTGAATTGAAACAGGTCTATTCTTGAAGCTGTATCTGGCGTTTGAACATATATTTTTTTTCTTGCTCATAAAGAGTCATTTCTAGCCAAAGAAACTGAACATAACTAGAAAACTGTCAATTTCCATGGAAGCTTTTTTCATTTCTATGGATTTTAATCACATGTATCATTTTCCAGTATCATGGGAATCCTGTCAGATGTTTCTCATAGTAATCTCACAAGTCTCTCCTCTAGAGTTTAATAACGTCTCAAACTGTGCTCAGATCTGCCCAGATGCAAAGTCAGAGATCTCAAACATTTCTTGTCCAATGCTCCACATTCATTTTACACCTCCAGACTCTAACCGGATGACGACTAGTGACTCATTTGAGCCTGATTGAGTTTCTCCCACTTTAGGAGAAACATCTGAGACACAACTGAGTCTCTTGAGCTGTTAAAGAGTAACTATTACAGTAATTAAAGTCTCTTACCTGACAGCCGTGAATGCTGGGGTCCCGTCCGTAAGAATATGACGCTCGCTCCGTTTTACCTGTTTAAAGAGAGAGAGGACGGATCATTAGCACATTCATTAATAATTCTTCAATTAGGTCTAAAAATAAGCTTTTAATAAAGTCCTTTAAACCGGCAAGGCCAAGCCAAAACAAGCAGATCAGGGACGTAACCTCAGAAATCAGTGGCGGTCGCATGAATTCGCGCATGTTGAACAGACAGCTGGCGTCAAACGCCTCAAACATCACAAGCTCAGGTTATTACAGTCAGACGCTTTGACGAACAAATGCACGCAATCATGCATCGACTAGTTGCTCTGGTTTGAGAGCATGAAGATGTTTGACTTGTTTTTTTTTGTTTTACTGATGTTGCAACTGTTAAGAGAACAAAAAAACACAAGGGAACTCAGCGACAAGCAGGCCTCTCTTTGGAAGCAAGCGGGCATGTGAAATCTGGTATTAGCAGAATAAAGACCTTCTCAAAGTCTCACAAACACTCGTCTACAGGCTGTTAATTATATAGAGGAACATGCTTGAATGCGTCCTGCCTTTAGCTGCACTGGGACCACCGCCAAACACACACACAGCAAATATTGTTAAAGTCTTGTGACCTCATCCAGTCTTAATCAAATGAGCCCAATTACAGAGTCCTGCTCATGTTCTCCTGCGCTTCTGTTCTGTCAGACCTGAGCTCAGTCTCTGTTACGCTTTAGAAACCTCCAAAATGTGTTTTAATGTATGTGACCAGAGGCTTTTTGAATAAGACAACGGTGCTATTCACTACACTAACTACTAAAGTCATTGGCATACCTCACGATAATATACCATGGTAACCATAGAGTAAAACAAAAAACATACTACAGTCATTATAACTCTAAAATCATCATGAATTAAGATGAAAATCGCAGCAGTTGTGTTTTCTAGATGTTTTATGCATCAAAAGCCTGTTTGAATAAAGACAACAAAGTTATTTACTACTGTAAACATTCAAACTCTAAAATCTCTCAAAAATGAATTATAGAGTAAGCTAAGTAGTAATATTTAAACTGCCTTTTAAAACAAATAATATGGAAGTTACTATAGAGTGAAACAAAGTACATACTACCATCATAACTCTAAAATAATCATAATTAATCATACATAGTGTAAATCTTTAAATACTAATTGCTCAAAAAATGTACCTTGGTAACCAGAGTAAAACAAAAAACATACTACAGTTATTATAACTCTAAAATAATCAAAAGCTAAGATGAAAGCAATTGTGTTTTCTAGACATTTATGTGTCAAACACCCATTTGAATGAATGAAAACAAAACTATTTATTACAGTAAACCTTCAAATACAAAAAAATGATACTATCTCTCAAAAATGACCATGGTATCCATAGAGTAAAACAAAGAACATCACTATAACTCTAACATGATTATAAATGACGACGAACATCTCAGCAGGTGCGTTTTATAACTGTTAATCTTGAATAAAACATTTTATGTCAACAGCCCAACGAAATAAAGACAAGAAAACTACTTACCAATGTAAACCTTCAAACATTAATCGCTCAAAACAAAACCGTAATTTACTAAATATCCAGTTACAGTTGTACAGTTGTGACCCTGCAGCACAAAAGCAGTCTTAAGTCGCTGGGGTATATTTGTAGCAATAGCCAAAAATACATTGTATGGGTCAAAATTATTGATTTTTCTTTTATGCCAAAAATCATTAGGATATTAAGTAAAGATCATGTTCCATGAAGATATTTTGTAAATTTCCTACCATAAATATATCAAAACTTAATTTTTGATTAGTAATATGCATTGCTAAGGACTTCATTTGAACAACTTTAAAGATGATTTTCTCAATATTTAGATTTTTTTGCACCCTCTGATTCCAGATATTTAAATAGTTGTATCTCGGCCAAATATTGTCCTATCCTTAGAAACCATACATCAATGGAAATCTTATTTATTCAGCTTTCATATGAATAAATCTCAATTTCGAAACATTGACCCTTATGACTAGTTTTGTAGTCCAGGGTCACATATGAGTCTGTGCTTTTGCTTCATTTCATTTTTAATAACAGTGGTGCTAAAACCCACTTAACACTGTAATGTGACTATGGTATTTTGTCAGGAAAAACTATGGTTACCGTGGTGAATTTTTCAGTTTTCTACCATGGTGAAAACATGTGCTGAATCAGTTACAGGAAAAGCACAAAAACACTTAGAGCATAAAATAAATAAATACCACAAAATATATACTCTTCCACACACAGGAATCATTGTACTCTGTTCTGATCTGAACATTTACCAGGCGGCATCCCACTCTGAATCCTCAAAGGTCAAACAAGAGGTCAACATCTACCACATGCATGACCTGTGTCCAAACACACAGCGAAATCTGCTGCATTGATCTGAATCACGATGCGGAGCACATGAAGATCACTGCGCTCATTTCAACACTGTACATTTGACTGCACACAGATGCTAAATGTCCAAAACACATTTCATACACACAAACACGGACAAACATCACACATGAATCACATTCAGCGAGATCCGTCCGTTTTATCAGTGACATAAACCATCTTTCTTGTTCTTCTGAACGTTTAACCGTTTCTGAGGACGGTCGTTGTGTTTCCTTGAGAGATCCTGACGTGTTGCTGGATTCAGACACACATCTTTATAAATCCTGCTAATCCAAAGGACCGTGAATCTGGAAGTGGGAACGAAATCCAGAAGAGAGCTGGAATAGGACAGGAATGCCACAGACAGAACGTCACTCCGGAAAAACACACACATTGAGCACAGATGCTGCATGTGTACAGCTCTCGCTCTTCCTTTCTTTTGTTTGCTTTTACTTTAGTTTATTCTTGAGCTTGTTCCAGAGTATCTGCAGAGTTTTAGAAATCAGATTTAAGACCTGCATTAATAAAATGAACACCATACGTCCATATAGAACAAATCCATACAATCTGAAAATAAATCCTGTATCTCAGATTCTTTTAAGCCAAAAAAAAAAAAAATCACAGGTGAATAGGGTAAAATATTAACTAATAGATATTAGATATATATCACAGTACATTAAGACAATTGTGTTGTATTATAAAATGTCTGAAACAGTATGTTTAAATATGAAAATGAGGCATCATCTAATAAATATGTACTAATTTGCACAAATTTCCAGAAAATACATATGAATATTGGATAAAGCCTTATGCAAAATTCTTGTTTGGTTTTGCTAACATATTAAAGGTTTTTATATAGGGGATTTTGGATTTCTCTTTTAATCACTCCATAAATCAAAAAATAATGTCAACAGACAGAAAAAATACATTTTCACCACATCTTTAGGAACAAAATGTCATATAAATCAGTGTGAATGATATATGAACAATCCCTTCAGTAAAAACCTTCAGAATATAGAGAGGAATAAAACTGTAAGTTTTGGTGTATGTAAGTGCTGCTGAAGTGGACAAACAAACTCACAGCCTTTAAATATATGCATTTTAACCATGTTTTTAGATATAAAACGTTATATAAATCAGTGCGAATGATATATGAACAAATCCCACAATAAAAATCTTCAGAATATAGAGAGGAATAAAACTCTAAGTTTTGGTGTATGTAAGTGCTGCTGAAGTGGAGAAAAAACTTTTAAAGATATGCATTGGAATTGAAATCAACAGACACAAATAGATGTGAGTGCAATAAAACAAACACTTACATATGTATTTTGGATATTTTCTTTCCACTAATATGAAATAAGCAAAATAACCTAAAATCTCAAGCAAAATCAACAGGGTAACTGCAACTCCATGTTTTTTTAAATAGTTTTTTTTTTATACCATTGTATCAATACATATGAGAGATTGACCGATATTTGATGTTTTTCTATTAAATGTGCAGCGATTAGGGCTGCACGAGTATGACAAAAATCATAATTGTCGATTATTCCCTTGAAATTGTAATTGCAATTATTAATTATGATTATCACAATTTACATTGAATGATGTTTATACCATTGTTTGATGCAACTGCATGCCGTATTTTTATATGAAAATAAACAAACTGAAAACACTCTAACTACTCTAACTGTAGTGCTTTCTTATAGTATTAAGCCTCAAATGTCAAATATACATCGGATTGGTTAAAAAGGTTAAAAAGTAATGGTATTATAATGTTATACTAAAACTAAAACAATGGAAAACCCCTTAAGATAACATTTAGAAAAGAAAAATATATCTTAAAAAAAACATCTTAGAAAATATCTTAGAAAAAACATATCTTAAGCGTGCAGAATAACATAAGTGGACTTTGAACGATTAATTGCCCCTTTGAATGATTACGTAATTGTGGCATCCGTAATTGTAATCGCGATTAGAAATTCGATTAATTGTGCAGCCCTAAATTTTTGTCATTTTTATATATTTTTTTTATTAATTTTTATTTTAGTTTTTGGTTCATTTTAGTACTTCAGCTTAAACTTTCTAATTTTCATTTTCGTTTTTGTTAACAATAGCAACACTGATATACAGTATGATATAAGCAACAACAACAAATGTTTGCCCAAAAAAAAAACGTTTGAATGATGAACCTATTTGAAACCGTATTCTGTGTGAATGCTCTGTAGATAGAATCTACAGGTAAACAAACACGATTAAACGCAAGAGTGTCACAAACATCTGATAGTCTGGGAAAGAGAAAAACGCTGTGAACATCTGTATGTGTTTGCTGGCATAGTTAGGGAGGTGTTTTGTCTAGCAGTGTGGTGTACAGACACAACGTTCCTAATGAGCTGGGTACTCTCCCAGAGAGCGAACGCATGACAGAGAAAACCACTAGTTTCACAGTTTCACTTTAAACCTCTACCTCCCCAAAAGCCAGATTTCTCAGAGAACAACACGTGTTTACCACCAATCGAACCGTATTCCTTTGGGAAGAATTATTCCCACGCGACAGCATCTGTGAAGCCCAAATGCTTTTGCATACGTCTTTGAGATGCCTGTTGCAAAGAAAGTTCATACCTAGAATTGTCAGTCTTT